CCAAACCCCAAGCTCAGCACATCACATGCAGCATTTCTCTTTTTTTCCCCAAATAATCCAGTGAATTGCCATTAAAAAGTGATAGGGTATCATGCAGCAGTTCAACAGAATGATCAGGGACATACAGAAGAAAAGAATTATTATGACATAATGTTTAGAAGCAGAATACAAATAAGCATATTAGTAGTAGTTGACACTTATTTACTCTTAATTCTGATGCACACACTTTCCCAAGCATGTCAAGGTTGATCTCCACAACCAGTATCCATCCTAACCTTACACTGATGCAGAGCAACAAGGCACTAAGAGTTCAAGACCAACAAGCTGCAACCTGACATGGGCAGCCTTGCTTCTGAGCATGTCCTTCATTTCTGCCTCTGACACCAACAGGAGACGATGCAACCCTACAGGGCACAGCTCTGATCCCCAGCCTGGGGACCACAAATCAAGTTACAGGAACAAAGTGGCTCTGAGGTTTTGCTCAAGACTGTCTTTACTGCTTCCTAATTAACTTTTTCATAAGGCTTTGCATTTTCTTAAGTACCAAACAGCCTTGCAGAAAGGGAGAGCAATATTGTGAGTCTGGCACACCATCTTCTCTTAGGCAATAAGTAACAAAAAACGCGTTCTCGAAATGCCTCACAACAAAGACCTGTGCAACTGCAGAGACACCTAGAAAGGGACAGTTGCTAAGCAAAGAACTGGTCAATTAGCCTCAAGTTCCCAGGATAAAATAAGCTACCTAGCGGTCCACTGCAGTGCAGGTGTGGTCACCTGCCTGATCGTGTAAAAGAAGGCAAAAAGCCACTTAATGGCACAGAGAAAGTCAGGTTTTGGGAAGTCAAAGCTGATGAGTTCCCTTGCCAGGTTTAATGAGGAATTTCCAAGATACAAGCTTCTGCTCTAGAGAAATGTATGTGCTTCGCATGCTGGCATGCAGTCCTAGTCCAAGCTTTAATTGCTCTGGGTCCCCTGTTCCTGAGAAGCCCTGTGCTAGCACCCAACTTGCATCACTTCCCCCTCAAATTTGTATGTTGAACCCTCCTGTGGCTTATCACCACTAAAACTCAAACTGAGTCTCAGTCCCAAAAGAACAGGGTAAGACATGTTTCAGCCTTTAAAAGGTATTAACACTTTTCTCAAGGAAGGGAGTTAAGACTCACTGGAGTGTTAAGTATCCTGGTACCACATTAGCCACTGAAAGAGTGACCTGTTACAAAGCCTGTCTGGTGCCTTCCCTCACCCTCTACCTAACACATGTTCCTTCCACATGCCCCTGCTTCTCTGCTGTGACATGACACAGCATGTAGCCCTTACCAGAAACTAAGAAAACACTGGTGCCAAGACCTGCAGAACTGTGAGCTAAATAAATCTCTCTTCTTTTTAAATCACCCTATCTTTGGCATTTAATTACAGCAACAGAAAACACACTAAGACAAAGACCTAAAGCCAATGTGGCTGCATTTGGAAACAGAACCTTTATGGAGGTATGTAAGGTTAAATAAGATCTGGTATCCTTACAAAGAGAGACAAAGGGTCAAGCATGGTCATGCATGCCTATTATCCAAGCTACTCAGGAGACTGAAGCAGGAGGATCACAATTTTAAGGTCAGCCTGAATAAGTTAGAAATACCCTAAATAAAATTCTAAAGGGAGCTAAAAAAAAAAAAAAAAGAGGAGATGGCTCTGAGTTCTATCCACAGTATTGAAAAAAAGACTGAGACTGAGACTGACACTGAGACTGAGACTGAGACTGAGACTGAGAAGGAGAAAGAATCACCAGGGATACACAGGCAGATAAAAGACCACTAGGAACACAGAAAAGGACTGCCTGACTTTAGGTAACAGGGAAAAAAAGCCCTATCAGAAACCAATTCAGCTAACACTTTGCTCTTAGACTTATAACTTCCAAAAATTAAATTTCTGCTGTTGAAGCCACCTGGCTCATGGACCTTTGTTAATCGCAGCCAGGAAACATGGCACCCCACCATTCCTATTTCTCTCAATGAAGACAAGATAGTGGAGAAAGAATGGGGTGGAGGCCCCAAATCACCTTGCACTCAAGATTCCCAACAATCCTGCCCCCTCATCTATGGGGAAATGCACACAGGTAAACAAAGGCATTGGCCCCTGAAGACTTCCTAAATGTGCAGCCATCACAGAAAACTCCCCCACCCCGCTACCCATTCAGAATCATCACCCAAATGTGGATACACTGATATTCTCCTTAAGAGACTCCAGCTGTAAACTCTGGATATGTCCTATTTGCCAAAGATTACAAATGATAAACAATTTAATTTCTAGAAAACAGTATAAGTAAAAATGGGGAAAAAGCTTTACATTGTGCAACTAGCATCGCTGGATAATGTCTGGAGGAACGGGCTCAGTGAAAATGCACAAGCTGGTCAGCAACTTCCTTGAGGACAAAAAGCACCCCAGAGAAGACCAGAAACCTAATCAGACCCAAGAGCAACTATCAAGGCACACTATCCCTTTGAGATGTGGGAACTTATCCCAGGGAGAACAATGTTCATTGTCCACAGACATATGCAGCCCTGAAAATGGTACCCCAATGAGGTTCCTATAAAACCATCATGTGCATCTTGGAGGCCACTGTCCTTTTAGAAAAATGCATTCAATTCAAAACAGGGTCTCTTCAGAGTCAAAATCAAGTCTCATTCATTCATCATGGCGTTATCGCCTAGAGACAGAATCAGAGATGTTATAAAGACAAGGCATTAAACAACAGCAAGTCACAGATCCCGATTTTCTCCTTTCTCCCATCCTTTCCATTATCTCTAGGAAAAACACTTGGGTTTAGCATCTTCAGCATCTTCCAGATTCTCACTGACCCTGGCGTAGGGTGGGAAGCACAGAACTACTACTACTACTATTATAATTTCACCATCAAGATTTATGATCTTAGCCTCTCTTTCTTGCCCTCATTCAAGGCCAAAAGAGACAGAAGCACACTCCAAGAATGTCACCAACAGCATGACTTTTGCAACCAAGTCCAACAATCCAAACTTCATTGTTTTCCTCAGTAAAACCATCTCTGCACACGGAGGCAGCACAATTTTCTTGCCATTCTTGATCAGTACAGCCTACACATTTCCTCATGGCCGAATCTGGCCATTTGCCTCATCCCTGATTTTTTCCTAGTACGATTCCCTTTGAATGAAAAGTACCTCCAGAAAGGTTGGTGCTTTTTGGAGGTTACAGAGCTGCCTGGCAACATGAAGATGAAGACACCTGCCCTACCTGCAGGAGCCACAGGCCCAGAAGCTGTACCCCATCTCTGAACAATGGCGAGTCTCAGTCAGAACCTGGGACAGCAACACTGGCCAAGACAAGTTTAGTAACATTCCTTCACCTTTGTTTTCATAGTTACCAGCTATTTAAATCAACTAACAGTGCTTCTCTATTTAGTCATGATATTAAGGTTTCCTTTTTTTTAAAGAAAAATGCTCAAATTTGTTTCAAGTGTATCATTAAAAACAAACAATATAAGATAAGTAAGAGTAAAATGGTAAACAAATAACTGAAATTTGAAGAACAGCAACATATATATATTTACCCATTCCATGTGGATACCAGGTGATCCAGAAATGTCCGCTCAGCCTCAGTTGAACTCCAGGCTGAGAACACCCTAGTAAACCACTCAGCTCGCTGCACAGTGAGATGGTCATTCTCACACATAAGTCTCACAATGTCCACTCATTTCTCAAGTCTCACTCTTGAACTATGAGTACTGCAGCCCCCAAATCCCAAACTTCTTTCTTTAGCGATAAAGATATATACAGAAGAGGGAATACACTCCCTCCTTTACAGTCAGGGGAGACCATGGGACTAATGTTGGCCCCAAATATACAAATGGATACTAAGGGAACTTCTGGATGAGGTCCATAGAGCTGGGGCTTTAGCTTTTGTTTACCAAGAGCCCAGTCTGCAGTCTAAGGATGCCCATGGACTCCCTTTAAGTAACAAAAAAAGTTTTAAAATACAGAAGATACATAACTACAAAGCGACCTGATTATATTGGAATAGAATGACTGACATGTAAAAATGACATTGTAAAATATAAGCTTCTACATTATCACATGAAATAAGCACCATATTTCCAAGCAGAAATGACATTTGATATGTTTTCATTCCATAGTTGTTACAAGTGCCTGTGACTTTTGGTGACAAAGTCATCCACTTCACCATCACTACTGTGGTTTCTAAGGCTTCTGCTTACTTTCATAAAAGCAACAAATACCGAACTTTAGTCACAGACTGATGAAAATGTTATTTTTTACTGTGGCCATATTTGGGCCCCTGAATCCTATATGTAAACTAAGAAAATCTCTTCTCTGTCCTTCTTCCTTCGTGCTACCTCAAAAAAGAATGAAATGGCTGGAACTAAAGCAGCTATTTCATCTATGAGGCAGGGCACAGGGAGCCCTGGCCTCTGATGACCATGGAGCTATATATCAGCCCCAGCCTACCTACCTCCAGAAAAGATGAGTTTCTATCCTAAAGTCACGGTTGGGATATTCTTTGTTATTTAAAGCTGTGAAACTTGCTCTTTTATGTCTCTAATACTTTTTCTGGGAGGAAAAGTTGAAAACCTGATTATAAGCAACATTTCATCACCTTAAAGAGACACCTCTTCCTCACTTACAAAACTGATACTTCCAACATTACAAAGGAACCCATGTCTCCGGGCCCTAGAGGAAACAGCCCCTGAGATCATGAGCCACAGAAGAAGCTTCCCTTCCATCTTAACCCTAAGCTGTCCTAGAGAGGATGCACACGCATAGGGCCATTGGGTGAACCACAGTTCCAAAAGCATACATGCTCCATGCTTCAAGTCCACAGCCAGGTACACACCTGCTTACTTTATCCCACATTTTTCAAAGTCCACAGGCATGGAAGAATACACACAAAGGTGCTGCTGGGACACACAGGCGCACAGTCATGCCGCTATGGGTAGCGATGGCTCGGAAAATACTTACTAATTGTCATTGACTCTGGCACTGAGGCAGAAGGTAACTGGTTGGTTAGAGGACTTCCTTGACCTGGAGAACTGGTTTCCACACTGCAAAAGAGCAGAGGAAATTTATACTCAGTCACTTAAAATGTAAAACTTTACCCTAGCAGGAGGTATGTTTATTCAGTTATCTACAGACAGAATCAGAAAGCAGCTATCTGAAATCAGTTAATTCTTATAACATGCAGGTTCCACTTTTGCAAATTTGTCTACTTTCTGAAATTTATACAAGTGATCAAAAAATATGGTGACTTTATAAATGGTTTAAACCTATTATAGTAAAAGACACATTGCCAAGAATGATGGGATAAATGTGTTCAAACTGAGGCAGGGATTCTGAGGAGGATTAATGGCAATGTGTCTTTTATTGTAATAATTTTTAATTGAAATATTCACCATATCTCTGAGTAACTGATTTGAAGATAACAATATACAATGTATATACCGTTGTTACCCACTAATCATCATGTTTTCAAATTTTGGGTTTTTTTCTCTTTAAAATAAAATCTTGGAAAAAAGTTTTTAAAAGAAATACTCAACGTATTCTTCAATCGTAATTCATATGTAGAACTCTAAATCAATACAGAATAGTTTCACAAATCACTTTATAAGCCAAAAATTTAAGTCACCAACTTTTATGTTCCAAGTTAAAATCAAAAGAAGTGACAATCTACTTTCTTGTTTCTGCTCCTACAACTACAAACAAGTTCTTTTTCGTGGTTCTATGTAGTGTCACATTTTTCATATTCTTGTGAGATTTTTTATTGATTATTTTTGTTATCTAACATAACCTCTAAGTATAGTACTATCTTGTGTTCCTGAAGTGAGAAGGGTACGGTGTTCCTTATGGAAAAATGTACGTTACATAAGCTTCATTCAGGTATGAGTTAGTACCACGGGCCATGAATTCAATGCTAATGAATTAATAATAGATATTACATGATGTGTCTTTTTTTTTTGTACCGGGGATCAAACTCACAACCTCACACTTGCCAGGCAGGCGCTTACACCGCTGAGCTAAATCTCCGGCCCAACAATGTGTCTTTAAATGGGAACAGACATAAGGTCCCAATGCCCACTGATCAACTGGTAAAAATGTCACAACCAGAGTCTCAAAGAACCTCCTATCTTCCCTCTGAAAAAGATGTAGGACTCAAAGAAACTCTACATAACATAACCAACACAATTGAGAACTATACAGTTACAATGAAATTGCAACATGGGACAAATGTAACAATAACACCCTTTATGAAAATAGCAAGGTTGGGGCTGGGGATTTAGCTCAGCGGCATAAGTGCCTGCCTTGCAAGCAGGCAGTCGTGAGTTTGATCCCTGGTACCGATAAAAACAAAAAAGAAAATCGCAAGGCCATCATGTGATATACTCACACACATTGAAAGAAAAGCACCAAAACTTCTCCAAGGTCATGCAGTCAGGGTTAAGAATAATATTTTTCATCCATCATTATACCTTGCAAATTTGCTAAAATAAATAGCAGAAAAAGACTCAGAGCCCTGACAGGGTCTGGTGGCACCATGTTTTCTGACGCCAGACTAAATGGTACCAGCTGGGGTATGGGTGAGTGGTGTTTTGTCCAGAACCTTGTTTATGCTGGGTGAGACCAAGACACTATGCACGGCTTGGGGAAGGCAGGAGCCCTCACCCAGGAGGTTAAGATTGAAAACTCATATGGATTATATACCTAGGAAAGATAATCTAAGACCACTAGGAACTGGTCATTGAGATGCAAGACTAATCTGAATATAAGTGTAAGTAAAGCCTTGTGTTATAACCCTATCTTTAAAAAAGAATATAATCTAAGTTGTTACTAGCACATCTCAATCCCAAAAGTAAAATATTAACCTGTACCGAAGGCCAGGCTCCGCCAGAAGGTGATCATTAGGTCCTGTCCCATTCTCCAGGCTTCCCAGGGGCACACCTGGAAGTGAACAGAGAACAATCGTACACAGTCAAGATATTTTAATTCTACTTTCTCCTTATCATTTGTTCTTCTGCTGGACCAGCTAACTTAGAAATTTTCTTACTTATGCACTAGATTTTAATTTACCCATTTCATGTTTGCAGACAGTACTATTATGACTTGGGCTCAGCTGCTGATAGAAGGCCCCATAGTCCCACTTATCCTGTCACTTTTTTGACCTTGAGGCACATGGAATTGTGCATGAAATTCATATGTAGAGTAAACCTCGGAAAACGGAATAAAAGTTATTAGACAAACTGCTTCTGCCTATAAGTGACACTAGAGGGCAGCATGGTCTAATCACAGACCATGTCCTGTTGCTTCCTTCTAAAGTGTTAGCCTGCATTCGTGGCTTTTTAGAAGGGCTTTCCCAAGAAGGGAGGTCATAAATAATCTCTACAACCAACAGGCAAAAGACATTAATGATTCTCATAAACACATTAGCAGGTGCTTGAGTCTCCTTCCCGGAAAAATTACAATCTCATGAAACTTTGGCTGGATAGTGGCCTTTTTTTTTTTTTTTTTTTTTGTACAGGGATTGAACTCACAACGGTGCACTTGCAAGGCAGGCACTTATGCCACTGAGGTAAATCCCCAGCCCTTCTGGATAGTGACATTAAGACCCATATCATGCACAGGACCCCTTCCTTGCTCATTCAAGAAACTTCTCAGCGTAAGTGCCCATTGGAGAACTAGGCCCAGGGCCAGGGAACAGAAGTAAGGGAACACAGCCTCCTGAGCACCACATCTCCTATTTACACATGGAATTGGGCAGACCTCCAGTAACAGAGGGATTGGGCTTGAGGAAGAGTTAAGAGGAAAGAAAAGATGTTTTGTAACCTTTCCTTCTACTTTGCTGGCCCCACCAAGCTTCTATTCTCTCCTAACTCTTTCAAGAATTCAAAGGGGAAATAAAAGTTGCTACTTTTCAGCCTCCCTTTCCTTGCCACCTAGTACGGAGACTAGTTTTGGGATACATCGCTGGGTATCAATCTGCCCAATCGCTGCCCAATCGCTGGGTATCAAGTCCCTGCTCCCCAACTTTAATTCAGCCACCTACCCAGCCTCTTCATGCCTCAGTTTTCTCACCTATGAAATGGGCTACCAGCAATGTCTGCCACATATTTTAATGCCTGTCACATCACTGACTCTCACACATTTTAACTTTCACGTAAAGCTCATTAAGGACGCCCAGTGCGCAGCAGCAAATATCAGCCCACTCCGCAGTAATCGCGGCTGTCTCTGGTTTTTGTCCTTCCAATCAATCAGAACTGCTCTCAGAGAACCCAAAGAGCCCTTTTCTCAGTTTCCCCCTCCCCAAGGTCTCCTCTCTCAGATATCATAAAACTTACTTTCTTTGCCTTTCCTCCCCCAACCATCTTTTCTCAGATTTCTGAGTGAAATGTTTCTAAATCATGCCTCATTCTTCCTTGGAACATCCAGACAGGCCTTATCTACAGCTCTCATCTCAGCCCTCTCCCTTGGCCAAGCCCTCAGTCCCGAATCATGGTCACATATTTATAAATGCCTGGTATAAAGCTCCACTGGATACTTGCCTAAGCCTACGAGGTCACCCTGACCTTTGAAAGCACCAGGTCTTATATGCCACTCCCCGGGGGCTATAACTCCACAGAGCATGATTCCTACTACAGTTTGGATAAGTGTGCTCCAAAGGCCTACGTGTTAAAGGCTTGGTCCTCAGCCCATGGTACAACTGGGCCTTTAAGTGGGGCCAGTGGGAGGAAGTTAGGCCACAGAGGTAGTCCCAACAGGGATGTTATGGAGGAGTGTCTCTCTCCGCTCTCTCTCCCTCTCTTCTTCCCTCTTTCCCAGTCACCATGAGGCAAGCAGCTTCTTCTACCACATGCTCCCACCATAAGTTATTGCCTCACCATACGCCCAAACGCAATGAAGCTGAGTGACCAAAGATGGAAATATCTGAAACTGTAAACCAAAATAAATCTTTTTTCCTTCCATTAATTATCTCAGTTTTTTGTTTCTCTGTTGGCTTACAATGACAAAAAGTTAACACAGTATATAAATGACACATAAAGTATCCCCCAGTTTACTTACAAGTCATTTCTATCGCACATCTGTTCAAAGGTTCAGTACCATCTAACAGCCCTTCTGTGGCAGGTTACCTCAGTTCTGTGTCACCTTTGATAATCTAATTCAAGCACAGCTGTCAGATTCCAGACCCTGAAGCAAAGCCTAGAGCCCAACACACACAGTGGAAATTCACAGCCAGAGTAGTCACGCAATGGGCATTCTAGACCTGAGGCTGACTCAGCCCAGCTGGCAGCCTGATCCCCCTCCTTAGCACAATCCCAGCTGGCTAGTACCTGCAGCATGCCTAGCATACTGCAGCACACAAACAATAGAGCGTCTCCCTCATTTTCAAGACCCCCTCACAAACAAGACTACTATTAACTTAATTTTATACGTGAGGTAATAGACCCTGAGGATTTGACTTAGGAAGGCCAGAAAGCTAAAAAGTACAAGGATCCAAACCCTGGTCTGCCCAATGGCCAAGATGAACCCTTCCCATTTCAGCACACAGGATCTCGTCCAGCTGACCTGTCTGTTCCTCTACATATCCTACGCTTTGCTCCCATGCCTTTATTCATGCTCTTTCTTCTATCTGGACATCATTCTTCCAGTGCCACTCATCCACTCCCTATAGCACATATATCCCTCCACCTACTGCAACCATCTATTCACTCATTCAGCAAAGGTGCGCTAAGTCCCAGTTGTGAGCTCAGCCTGCGCACTGTCACAACCAGATGATAGACAGCCCTGCCCTCATGGACCTCAGAGACTAGCAGGGAGAACAGACACTGTCCAGTAGTTAACAAAAATGCATCATGACAAACAGCAGTCAGAGCAACACAGACAGATCTGCAGTATGGCACACACATCCTGACCTGTCCAAGGAGAGGTCAGAGAACACTCTCCAAGAAGCAACACTTGAGCTGAGACCTGAAGGATGTTGCCAGGGGAGCAGAAAGCAGGAGGGGCAGGTGGAGAGAAAAGGCGGGGCTCCATTTGAGGAAGTGGGGGAAAGCTGATATGGCTGGGGACACTCAATAAAAGGAAAATGGGAGGAAATGAAGTAGCCTGTATTAGCAGGTGCCTAGCTGGCCATGATGCAAATCCTACATTCTATTCTAAGTGCACTAGAAGGTTCTGGAGCAGGGAAATGATGTGATCTGGTTTGTGTTGTATAAAAACTCACTCTGGCCCTTAAACAAAGAAAGGAAAAGGGTAGAAGGTGACAGTACTATTGGGGTTGTTTGTTTGCTTTTCATGTATCTTTTATTTCCATGTATTTTATTAGTATACATTGGCAGTACATGCATTTTACAATCATCTTGGGGAGTTGGTACACATATACAACACAACTCATTTCGTTTTTTAATTCCCTTCCTTCCTCTCTCCTCCTCTAATTTCCCTTTATCCTTTTTACTCTTGTTATTAATCTTATCCATTGGCTGTGCATCTGCTAAAATCCAAGCAATACTTTCTTATATCTCAGATGAGTAGGAAGGGGTATTTTGTCACCTCCATTTATTATTCTCACTGGAAAGAAACACTGGACATCTTCCTCCCTCACACTTTAAATAAACACTGGTAAAATTCACTTTGCCCTGTTGTAGCTCACACACATGTCCAAAGGAGCTGCTCATGTGTCTAACCTTCCACCTGCTTGTTCAAGTCTCGTGGTATGAGCAAGGCTGACAGCTCTTGCTCTGACTCCTTCCCTAACCAGGACATGCAGTGCCCCTGAACGTGCAGTCGTCTCACCCAAGATTCAGAAGGGTAATCGTTCTTTTCAGAGTTTTCTTCTCCCTTCTAAGATTTAGCTACAAAAACACCCATCCTCCCTTACACGAGCCTCTCTTTCTCTTTCCCTTTTTCCCTACCCCCAATCACAGTGACTGTAAAAGCAAAGACATTTTCAAAGACAACTAAAAATTTCCCAAGGTGAGGAATGTCCTTCTCTGTGAGAAGTCACATTAAGAACAAAATGGCTCTGCAGCAAGAACAAAGAAAAATGTGGTAATATCTAAATTAAGGTAGTGTCAATCAGAAGACACTAGTTCGAAGTTAAACAAAAGTAAAGGAGTCTCAGGAAAAAATGTTGGTAGGACCCACCAGGAAAGGGCCATACCGACCCCACCTGGCCCCTATGCTCCTATAAAAATGGGCAATGGGCTAGGAAGGACTTGACATGGCTTAGTATCCCATGCAATTAACTAACTCCCCTAGCTCAGATTCTAGTATCTTCATGAAGACCTCAGTATCATGTCTTCCTGTGCCAAGCTCCAATCCACAGCAGGTTTGCCCCTTAGGTTGTCACAAGCTTGCAAAACTCTTGGCAGCTTTACGACTGCAGTAAATTTAACAAGTGGCAGACTGACTCATATGCATCATTTCTGGTGAGCATAGTCCTAGCCAACATCCCCTCCTAGACACTTGGTCCACACATATTGTTGACTTGCAATGGCAAGGACTGTTCCCCACTCCTGGCCTTCTGAACTGACAACCTAGAGATACAGGACTCCTACAGTCTGGCCTGCAAGCAGGAACAAGGCCACCACACTGTTGCCCTCTGGAACTTAATTGGGACCCCCACACAGATGTCCCAGGTGGTATGGAAGGTCATGTGGCTGAGAAAACAGTGTTAGCCACTCATTCAAGTACAGGCAAAGAGAAAGCTATGGCAGACAACAGGCAATGATACAGCCCCTCGGTAGTGTGGGGAAACAGGAATGAGAAGATAGCAGCACACATCTCCTCATCCTCTTTATCCCACTGATCAGCCCTGCACCACGGACACCCACACACGCCCAATACAGCACTGCCACCTGAGCACAGCTTTACACATGCCTGGGACCCTGACAGAATAACTCAGGGAGTCTTCATTGCAAATCAGAAAGGCGGCCACGCAGCGGTAACACCCTCTTCTTGTGGCTGTGATAGGGCTGGCAAGATAAATGGAGTCAGTCACTTCCAGGCCTGGTGACCACTGCATCACTCTCAACACCATCATCTGCTCTCCAGACTGACAGACATGAGCGTTCGACCACAGGCTCCCCTCAGCCTTGCTTCACACCCACAACTACACTCACTCAGCTTCCCAGAGCTAGAATTGTGTCTGATCCAATGGCAGTCCTCAGAGCCAGTGTGAGATCGTTTCTGCTCTTGACAAAGGTCTACCGTTCTATACAGTTTCTTGAGGAGTTGGTGGGCCCCGGGTACAATTTCCTAAATGAAGCTCAGAGAAAAGACTTTTGTTTCCCAGGAACACGAGAATACATCTGAGTCAGGTTGACTGAGACCTCTCCAAACTATTGGTGCTCAGGAGATGGCAATGGTAACTAAACCCTTCTGTGTCAGGGACTGTGCCATCTGCACGGCACACCCTCCTGAAGGGTAAGACAAGATCACTTGTACCTCCTCATGACATTTTCTGACTAAATAAGAAGGAACCATGAACATGTGTGTCCAACCATGTGGAATAGCACAGAAACACTAATCTACAAGCAAAGGCAAGTGCTTCAGCCCTGATATACTTCCTGGGCCCTGAGCACTTTTCTGTACAAGGTGGCAAGGCCTTTGTGATAGAACTTCCATTACCTTCTCCCAACTTCAAAGGAGCAAATAATACATAGTGTTGACAACATTTAGCCCAGCAAGCCACTGGTGGAGGGGAAAACCCAGGCTTAAGGTTCCCTGGAGACTTGTCAGCTAGCACAGCTGAGAGCACTTCCAAATGCTCCAGTTCTTAAGAGATGTACAGCCCCTCTCACTTCCAGGTCCCCACAAGCATCTCCTTGCCGGAGCCCCAGGCCTCTTGGTTCCCATTCCTTCCTGCCTGTATGAGTTACTCTAATACTCCTCCTGCTGAGTCTTAGAGCCAAAGTTCTGATGGGAGGGAAAACAAAATCAGGAAGCACTCACCTGCAGAAGCACAAGAGCCCACTCCACTGACAGGGAAGAGGACATCATTGTCACCATGTAGCACCTGCAGCGGAGCCCAGCTGTGCACCTGGGAGAGGCAGGCATCCCCATCCAGTGGCCTAAGGTGAAAGAATACAGCTGCATGACCAGGTACAGACCTGAGAGTTTGTGACTCACCACAAGCATCTGCTGGGCCTCCACAGTGCATCCTTCTCCAGGCAAAGATGGTGTAAGGACAGAGGACATGTAGGCTAGCAGTCAGGCAACAGAGTTCAGATTAGATGCCTGACACTAATTCTTTCAGCCACTGCTTACTGAGTGTGCACTGAAACCAGGCACTGTGCTCTCTGTGAGGCAAAGTACTCATCGTGCCTTCATGGAACCAAGTAGAGTGGGGTACACAAATGTCAACCAAATCACCCTGCAAGAAGATGCAAAGCAGCATCTCGGAATAGTGAAGCTGGTCAGGAAGATCATAGAAAGCTGCCTTAAGAAGAGGGTGGGTGAGATGACAAAGCACAAGGACCTGAGTAAAGAGGGCAGACAAGAAGGCTGGCAATGGAGGGACGTACAAAGTGCTAAAGTAGGAAGAGGCCAGTGTGTTCCAGGTCCTGAAATGATGGAGTGAAGCAACTCTGGGCCACTTCTGCTTCACCTTGCTGAATCTCAGACCCTCATGGGTAAAAGGAGAGAATGAGATCAGCTGGTGTCTGGATCCCTTCCAAGGAAAGTCAGGTCAAGAATTAACCAGGCTCATATGACCTGTTGCACTGTCACTGTATCTACAAAGTATAAATTTAATAAGCATAACCTTTGTAACACCAGGCTGGTTCTGCTGAGTTTGACAGAGTAATTGTCTACAGCAGCATTTGTCTCTGGGCAATCAGGAAGCACTAATAAATATCAGGATCTATTTCTGTAGTTCTTTAAAGGCTATAAAATCATTTTGTAACTACAGCATAAAGAAGACCAAGGCACATCATAACCATACCTACCCTATAAAGGCAGGAAAGAGAAAGGGAAAGGAGAGGGAAAAAAAAAGAAAGATTATATGACTCACCCAAAGAAAACTGCCATACACAGAACCCAGGACGTGTCTCTCCCAAATACAGCTACAAAGCTCCAGCCTCCAGCCCACCGAGCAGCACTGCACACAGTTTTTCTTTATTTTACAAGTACTTGGGAGTAGGGAACACTGAGGGTTAAACCCATGCCCTTCACACAAAAGTAAATCCTCAGTTTATTTTTTATTATTTTTATTTGAGATGGGATCTTGCTAAGTCACTAGATTGTCCAAACTGGGCTCAAATTTGTGATCTTCCTGCCTCAGCTTCCCAGAATGCTGGGATTATAGGTTTGTACCAGTAGGCCTGGTTTTTCATTATTTTATTATTTTTTTTGAACTATACTTTTTTTTATTTAAAAAGACAGTGTAAACCATTCTGTTTCTTTTTATAGTCTATTTAAAAAATCTTATTGGGAATGCTAGAACTCAAACAACATGTGACCTTATTTGGAAATAGGGTCATTACAGACATAATTAAGATTGTGTTCTGCTGGAATAGGGTGGCTCCTAATCAGCAAGTCTGGTATCCTTATAAGAAACCTGCAGGTGAAAACAGAGATAAAAGACAGAATGCCATGTGAAGCCAGGCAAAGGTCAGAGTTATACAGTTGTAAGGCTAAAGATTGCTAGCAAATGGCTGGAAATTAAGAAGAGACAAGGAAGGGTACCCTTCTAGTTTCAGAGGTAGCATGGCCTTGGTGATACCTATTCTGGACTTCTGGACTCCAGAACAAAGACCGTAAATTTCTGTTTAAGTCACCCAGTTTGGGGAGATTTATTACATTAGCCCTAAAACACTCCCTAAAACAATTGAGAATTAAAATTCAGTTTAACTAAAATCTATAAAATTACTTTTGTAATAGTAGGAGAAAAAAATATCCTCCTAAAATGTTTTAAAAGTTGTATGTACTACCTATAGGTGAAGTAAATATTTATATATTCTTAAGCAAATATTGACATAAATATAGCACTTGAGCCGTAAAATGTATACAGTGCTACTGAAATGTGAGAGCAATTATTGAAAAGAATTTGCATGAGGGTCATCAGGGCAAAAGTTCATCTTGACTGTATATATGGAAAATAAACCACATTCTCTGAAGTTTGTGTATTATTCAGATTCTATATTTTCTTCTGCCCTTATTTTGACTTTTTTAATTTTTAACTTTTTTTTTTTTTTAAGTAGTAAAATACAACAGAACAAGACAGAATAAAGCCAACTGAGACCATGTAGTGAAGTTGGTACAGAACTTCACAGCAGGTTACCGGGATAACAGTAATAGGTATCACAGTATATTTCATTATCTTTATAATAGTTGTTCTTTCAATCACGTATATCAAAATAAAATGAAATACAGAACATTATAGAACTTATCAAAATAGAATATTGAATAGAGCAGTACCATTAATCAGAATAAAGCAAAACAGTAATAAAAATATTTGCCTTCAAACAGATGGTAGAAGGAAATCCCCCTTATTTGCTATGGTCAGCTTTCCAAGAGATGCTCAGATTTCTGGTTCCCATTTGCTAACAGAGGGGACAAGGGAAGTGGGGTAGGGCAAGTGGGATGTTTGACTCTAGGCCTGCACCAGTAGGTTCACTACTGCTTGCTTGGTTTCCCAGCGTCCTAAGTTCCAACACAGTGTGGATCTCAGGAGACACTGGTGGTTCTCTCCCTGGAAGGGCCAGTCTGCCACACCACAGCCGCTTCCAGGGAGGCGAGCTGCTTGCTTGGTTTCCCAGGGTCTTAAGTTCTAACGTGGTGCAGATCTCAGGAGACACTGGGGGTTCTCCCTCTGGAAGGGCCACAGTGGTTTTTCATTATTTTAAAGCAGAGATCCATAAACACTTTAGGGCCAGCCAGTGAATAATTTAGGCTTTGTGGCATACTTTCTATGTGGGTATTTCTTTATAATCCTGTAAGAAATATAACAATCAGGTGAGTGTGGTGGCACACACCTGTAATCTCAGCACTTGGAAGGCCAAGGCAGGAGGACTGGTGTGAGTTTGAGAACAATCTGGGGTACAAAGTGGGTTCAAGACTAATCTGAAGTGCAGAGTGAAACCCTGTCTCAAAAAAAAAAAAAAAAAAAAGGTAACAACCATTCCTACCTGTGGGAGGACGTCCCCTCTGAGTCCTCTCTAGTTTTTTGGTAAAGCAGGGAATAAGCCTAACAGAATTTTGCAAAACTTACGATTTAATACCACAGGTAATAAAATGAAACTCTTAGCAGGATATGAGGCAAAAGAGAAGCCACTCCAGCCTACATACTGGAAGCAGAACCCAACTTGAGTCAAGTCTTGGGTGAACTTGACTGTGCCTTGGAATCTGTTACAACTGCCCTCTTGGGGCACTGATCCACCAGCTGGTGACCAAGGGGACAGACACTGAAGTAGTCAGGGGCACCCCTCTCAGAGAAGGTAGCAAAACTAGTCAGTTTTTTCCCCAGCCATCCTACAAGCTTTGGGCAAGTAGGATTTTCTGCTTGTTTCAAAAACAGTGCTTGCCACTTCCCAGGAACATATGCATACATGGCTGCCGGATAAAGCCAGGCCTCTGCACCATGAAGTTCCAAACACAACTGAAAGTAGTCACCAAAACCACCACCTCAAAATGAATTAAAGTGATTTCTGAGGTAAAGATGGTCTCCAAATATGGCGCCAAGATTGGCTTAAATACAACGATGGGAGCTGGACATGGTGGTACATGTCTGTAATCCTAGCACTTTGGGAGACTGAAACAGGAGGATCATGAGTTCAAGGCCAACGTGGACTACACAGTGAAACATTGTCTCCAAAAAAAAAGGGTTACTTCTATTCAGATAAGACACATGTTTCAAACCCTAGACAATGTTGGAAAAAAGAGGAGAGAAAAATAGCTACTACCACCTTACCCAAAATACAACTGGCAGGACACTGCCTCCTGATTGTCTGTCTTGGCTGCTATGCAGTCTTTCTTTGCATAGTTTTAATGAAAATACATATACAATTTTCTATCACGTGTTTCCCATTTAGTACTAATTCATAATCCATCTTCCTACCAACAGATACTCTCAAACAAACAACTTAAAAGGTTCAAGATCTTCAATGTTAAGATATTAAAGTTTAACTCCAAAATACCTTACTGGTACTTTAGCCTCGGTGGCCGCACATGAAGGTCAGCTCTAGAATTTTGCTTCTCTGAATAAGGACTTTGGTGTCTACCAGCAGCAATCTTTTCCCCAGCTGAGTGCAACATATCCTCAGGCAGACTGTCAGCAGGAGGACTGCTGAGTCAAGTGGGATAAACATTTCCTGACATCTTGTCAAACTGCTTTCCCTAAGGGGATCAACAGCCCATGTGCACATCCTTTCTCACCATGCAGAGGCTGCCTGAACACCCTGCATGGCCGGAACTCCAGGTCCACCAGGAACAAGCCTTGCACCAACCTGGGTGCTAAGTCAGAGCTAGCCTCTCATCTTGTTCTCAGTTTAAATTGTGATAAACATGATGGATAAGATGTGGCGCCTTGTTTCACTCTACATTTATCAATTCTAATGAAATACAACATTTTTCATGATTGTAGTACTTCTTGAGATATGTTTTCCCCCTACTTCCTTAATGGTATCATAGAACACATACAGACTGTAAAAAAAAAAAAAATCTACACTAAAGATATGACCCTTTCTTCAGAAAAAAACAGAAAGGAAAGCTAGTACTAGTGGTTAATATTGAGGAAGGAGAATAGGAGTCTTCCTCAGGCAGTGGTTTAATTATCAATTACCAGAAAAGCCCTTCTCTGGCCAACAGATCATCCTAAAGACAACCAGAGCATGGGCTTTCCTGGGGACAATGGCAATCCACACAGAGCTGCTACTGGCCCGCACACTTCCTCACACACTGCTGCACGCCAGCCTCTTCACCTTTCCTGTGAGCACTGGCTTAATATCAAAGACTAAAAGCAACTGTGAGAGTTAGCTGCATGTGTCATCTTGGCTATGTCATCTTGGCTATGCCACATTATCCAAATATTAAGTCACATGTTTCTATAAGAGTACATGTTAGTCAAGATTGACATTTAAATCAGTACATTTTGAGTAAAACAGATTATCCTGATAACTGGCCTCATCCAACCAGCAGAAGTCTTCAAAAGGAAAAAGACTGACTTCTCCAAGGCAAGAAGTAATTCTGCCAGCAGAATGCCTCTGGACATAAACTGTAACTCATTCCTGGGTCTCCAGACTATCAGCCGAGCTGATAAATTTTAGACTTGCCAGCTTCTACAATCCTATAAGCCAGGTGCTTAAAACAAATCCAGAAAAACAAAGACAGAGACAGACACAGTCAGAGATAGAGAAAGAGATAGAGACAGAACGATCAAGAGAGAAAGGGAGCAAAAACTCTCAGTATCTCTCTCTTTCTCCTCCCCCAACTAGTTTTGTTTCTCTGCAGAACCCTGAGTAATTCAACAGGTCACAAGACTTACTTCCCAGGCCTAAAAACATTTATACTCTATGAGCAAGAACAACAGTACTGAAAAGCTACCCTAATATGTAATTTAGGAATACAAAACATGCTTGTGCATGAAAATATTCATTCAAAATGGCTAATAACAAAACAAACAAATATACCAACTACCAAAATACTCAACCTTGGGGCAAACCTTTAACAAGTCATGACATGTTGATCTGACTAACAACAACTGTATTAGGGTTCCACAGAGAAACATATCCACTAAGGACTGTATAACAAGAATAGATATGAATACAGATTTATAATGAAGAATTTGTTTACATGATCATGGAAAACAGAACGTTTCACAACCCACACATCACAAGCTGGAGACTCAGGAAAGTTGGTACTATAATTCAATTCAATTGAACCCCAAGAACCAGGAGAGCAGATGGTGCAAATCCTAGTCTGTTGCACTTTATATCTAGATGTCCCCCAACATCTCATTGTTCAGAGCTGGGGCTTTGGGGAGGATACTGGATCATGGGGAAATGATACCCATCATTGGATCAGTCCACTGATGAAGAGTTTATAGCTGGGTTTATAGCTGATTGTGAGGCAAAGTCTGGTGGAAAGAGGTAGATCACTGGGCGTAGCCTGGAAGGGCTATCACCCTCTCTCCTCCTCTGATACCTCTCTGCTTCCTGCCTGCCATGTCCCTCACCACTGTGCTGCCTTGGAGCTAGCCCACTATGGATTAAAGTCTCCAGAAACTGTAAGCTAAAATAAACCTTTGCTTCTTAAGTTGTGTCAGGTATTGTGCCTCAGCAATGAGAAAGCAATTAAGATATAGTTCAAGGGCAGCAGAAGACCAGTGTTCCAGCTCAACCTCACAGACAGAAAGGAAATAATTCTTCCTTTCCTCCAGTCTTTTGTTTTATTCAGGCCTTCAAGGCATTGGATGCCTCTCACACTGGCGGGGAGGGCATCAAGTCCATCAGGTCAAATCTTAGTCTCACTCAGTCTCACTTCTGTTTAATCTGAGTAAGCAATGACCCAGTCAAGTTGACGATCACAGAAACCATCATATCAACCAAATGATATCCTAAATTACAAAATTTTCATCTATAGAAACACGGAAACTATTTTACAGTATAAGATTTGACTAGAGGATACAAGAACTTAACTCCCAGCTTTGCCAAATGCTCTGGCAAACCTCAAACCTATAAACTCCTGCTCTCTCATCTGTAAATTAGGATACCCACAAAATTCAGTGCTGCTGTAGGTATTACTCAATTCATGAAGTATATGCAACATCAGGGATATCATACATGATCAATAAGGTAAGACTACTAATACACATACTGTATTCATATGAATAAGGGTAAGAGCAAAAATAAAAAGCAAAAAAAAATACACAATCTTACAAGAAAGAAAAAATTAATATTAAAACATGAAAATCAAAAGCTTAAGGCTAAAGGCATATTCAGCATCTAAATAACACTATGATATTTTGGACAAAGAAAAGTACATTTATATGTATTCTGTTTATACTTTAATGGCTGGATTGTGGTATCAGCCACAAACAGCATGGCACTATACTCAAAAGCCAAGGTGAAAATGTAACTGGCCTATGTGACAATAAGAAGATTGAGCATAAGAAGTATAACAAGCTAGATGTGGTAATGCACACCTGTAATCTCAACACTCAGGAGGCTGAGGCAGGAGGAATGCCACAAGTTCAAGGCCAGCCTAAGTTACGTAACTCTTTCATGGCCAACCTGAACTACAGTGGGGCCCTATCTTCCAAAAACAAAAAGAGAAAGGAAGTGAGAGAGATAATAAGAGCAGTGCAACAGCAGCAGCAGCTCACCTGTGTTGTTACACAGTGTGCCAGCCCCTATGCCAAACACCCCACATGAAGTATCTCACTGATTGTACAACACCCCTAAAAGCACGTGCTGCTATCCAAACAGCTGTCATCTGAGGCAGGAAGCTGGGGAGGTAAAGCAATTTGCCCTAGCCAGTCCAAGTGAAGTCACATAACCAGTAAACAACAACCCAGGTTATCTTGACTCTTTAAGATCCATGATCATTATTAACTACACTTCTCTATTTTAGGTCTTTAACTGCACCAAGCCCCCTCCACAGTTTAATATTTACAGCGACTCCAGTGTTAAGGCAGTTAAGTGCAGACAAGTTACCCTGTCCACAGGTCTGAAAGACAGGAACACAGGAATTACCAGCCACGACTATTCTCTAGACTAACCCTGCCTTCCTCCAGAGCTTTCTGTGCTAGCACGAAGTTAGAGATGTAAGGAAAACGAGTCATTTGTAGAAAACAAGAAGGTCAAGGCACACAATTTGACCTTCATTTGGTATTAAATACCTTCTACTACGCTCTCTTGCCCTCTCTTAGTTTCTCAGGAGAATGTCAAGTAATGTCATTTTAGGAATGTTTCTCCTAAAAAAAGACATGAAAAATGAATACTGCCCTAAACAAATATAAAATTTATACTCTTATCTCACCAACTACCATACAAGGAAAAAGCAGTACATATCACTCCCTTCATTAAAAGCTCAACTGGAACTTACTTCTCTGGTGACCCTGAGTGGCCTATGTGCTTCCTTCCCAATGAGCTCCCATACACATCATCCTCATTTTCATCTACATCTTCATCATCGATGCTTTTCACATCAAGTTTCTGGTACCCAAACTCTCCGTTCAAAGACAAAGAGTCAATTTTCCATGAGTTGCTGCTCTGGCTTCCATTGGAATTTGGCCCAAAGGGGCCTTCAAAAGCTGACATGATATTGACTGAGGAGCGGTCTGAATTTTCCTCTGAGCTCTCCCCTGCCCAAGGAATTTTTTTTAAAATGTCCCCAGAATTCTGTTCTTCCTCCTCGTCATCAAATGAGATAATATTGGTCACTTTCTTTTTCTTCTTCCGCTCCTTTTTACATCTGGAATCTGCAAAAGAAAAGATAGGGTACAAGAAAAAGTAGACAAATCAAAAAATGAGTAAGCCACTTTACCTCTGGGTCATGGAAAATCCTCTGGTATTATATTGAAAAACAACTGTAAGACACACTCCAATTTTTCTTCTATATCCTAAATATCTATACAGAAGACTGAACAAAATGGATATGGGACTCTACCTCCAATTTAAACAAATATAACACAGGACCACTCTCATGGCAAGTAGATAAGGTAAGAAAACAGTCTGAAGGTTGCAGTTTACTGTTGCATGGCCACAAATCCCTCCCATCGCTGTATCATGTCCCTTTCAATGGGGTTGTGTTGCTTCCTCCATTCAGAGAGGCATCTGTGTCTACATCTTGAACCCTGTCTGATGCAACACTCTGCTTTGACCAACGAAATATGGCAGAAATAACATTGCATTCTAGACCCCAGAAGCCATTGAGGTCTTTCAGCTTCTGCTTTTGCTCTCTTGAACCACTACCTAATACCTCTCCATAAAAGAACCAGCCTAGCCCACTGGAGAATGAAAGCGAGATGTACACTGAGGCCTCGGTGTAATTTTAGGCACAGGAGTTGAAACATTCCCATATTGCCCAGCCCAGCCACCAGCTGAAGTCCCATAAGGGAACCAGAAGAAAACTAGCAAGAGCATCACTACACCAACTCATGGAATCATTTTAAAAATGATAATGTTAACCGGGCACAGTGATGCACGCTATAATCCCAGAACTCGGGAGGCTGAGGCAGGAGGATAGCAGCCAAGTTCAAGGCCAGCCTGGGCTATCAAATGAGTTCAAGACCACCCTAAACTAAATACTGAAACCCTGCCTCAAAAAAGACCAAAAAAATAAAAATGATGATGAGGCTGCATGGCTGTAATCCCAGCACTCGGGAGGCTGACGCAGGAGGACCATTGCAAATTTGAGACCAGCACTAAGGTTACAAAATGAGGTCAAGGTTGAACTGCATAAAACTGCATAGTGAGACCCTCTCTCCAAAAATAAAATAAAATAAGTAAAAATTAAAATGATGCTGCTGTGGTATGGAGATGTAGGTCAGTGGTGGAATACTTGCCTAGCATGTATTAGGTCTAGATTTCTATCCTGAGTGCCACCAGAAAAACTAAAACAAAAATGACATGTGTTAGGTTTAAGCTGTGACCTTTTGTTGTCCTTGTTATAATGCAAAGGTTAAACAGAAATCGAGTCTGCCTTAGGGATCAGAACTAAGATGAGAGCACTTGTTTACCTCTCTTAATAATCAACTCATATGCGAGACACATTAAGCCATTTCCCACAACTCTAATATATCTACTGAAGTTAAACCAAAGTATGGCCTGGTGATATATCACCAGTGGAGCACAACTCTAAGATAACTGCCAAAAAAAAACCTCTTCCAAAATGGTTAGGACTGGCAATTCTCTGGGTACCTAAATTTTAATGTCTTTGTTACACAAGGTGCTCAACCATACCATTTCCTACATCACTCGTATGGGATCTAAAGACAGTACGACAAATAGGTCTTTGTGTACTAAACAGCCCATGGCATTCTGAGTTTTCACTATCGTTAATAATTCCAGGGCCAAGGATATAGCTCAGTGGCACAAGCACCCGCCTGGCAGGCACAAGGTCCTGAGTTCCATTCCCAGTACCAAATAATAATAATAATAATTCCAAAGAGTAAAATGTGTTAGTATATGTACCAACTCCCTCAATAGATGTAATCACTATTTACAGGAAATATATACTAATAAAAATTAAAATTAGAAAAAAGAAAAGTGAAAGACCCAAAAAATAAAAATGAAAAAATAATAATTCCAAAGGGAGGCCATGATTACTGCCTTAAAGGACTTGGGACTACACAGACTAGTACTTAAACCCCAAATTTCCCATTCTACTCTACAAAATACCAAGTATCTCCAAATACTCAAAGGAAATTATAAACTTCTAACTTGCTTGCTTCTTACTTTTGCTTCCTCACAACCTAGATTCAAAGGTGACATCTCTTTCTTCAAACCTTTACAACAAGTGCGATGATATTCATTCTCCAAAGCACCCTATACTTGGCTATACTTAACGTAAGAATAATAAGTTATTTGTATAATTTGTCTTTAAATATATCCCCTCACCCACCTTAAAGGTGACTATTAATAAATGCTGGCCATCTGTCTACTTATAAGCACAAGGAACACAGTGAGTGCGTGAGTTAGTGAGTGAGTGAGTGAGTGAGTGAATGAATGAATGAATGAATGAGGATCAATCTATCTGGGTTTCCATCACTATCACCCCTCACTTCTAGTTTTCTCTGACTAAACTGTTTGCTTTCATTCTCCATTATTTTCACATCCAAGGCAATCTGACTTCCTTTGGCATGATATGAATAAGAAAAATAAACACAAACATGAACTGAAGATACAAGTGTAAAAAACTTTATTCTGCTTGGAATGACTTTCAGATAATGAGGGTGTCCCCCTCAGCGACTTGGTTCTTCCTTTAACGTACCCCCCTGTGACCCAAGTACCTATCCTTGCTCACCAGCACTGACGTTCTTAGACACAACAGGCAGAGGGTCAGTCTCCTGCTCGGGTTTGATGAGGATGGATACAGCAGAGGAGGCTGTGATCTCTCTGAGAAGACTGCTCACTCCTTGTGTGGATTCCTTCAGCAAGGAAGTCACATTCTGTGTTGACTCCTTTAAGAGGTCAGAGACGGTGGGCGCAAACTTACTTTGCCCATTTAAATCCTTGTTGTCGATGTTAATGGCAAAAAGTATGGAGTTTAGACCTGCCCAAAGAAAGGGAAAGTCTAGAGTGTTTGTTGTTAAGCAAATCTACCTCCATCAGTAGAAACAAGGTACAAACAACATAAAGACATATACTGATCTTCAAACAACAAGAGCATGTACTGATCTTCAAAGATTAATAAAAACCTTGGCTATACTTAACATAAGAATAGAGAGTGAACACCAGTTATCACATGAACTTAAATCTTCCCAGATTGCCTCCCTGCAGGTAAGGAACACAAATACAATCAATCACCCATGAGCAGATGAAGGCATAGTCTCTGGAATCAGACTGTGTGGGGTGAACCCCACCACTGCTACTTACTAATTCAAAACCATGGGCAAGCAACCTATGATCTCCCTGAATTTTAGTCTCCTTAGCTGTAGAACGGGGACAGTATATCTCTCTCACAGGATTTTAAGTATTAAAAAAAAAATCACCTACCAGAAACACTTGGCTCAATTAGTAATTAAAATATGTACCAATAAGGGCTGGGGATTTAGCTCAGTGGCTCAACTGCTTTACTGGTAGTGTGAGGTTGTGAGTTCAATTCCTGGTTACCCCCCCCCCAAAATACAAATAATATCACTATAATCACATTAGGCAAAAATTTAAATTGGTTACTATGACCTACAAAGGAAATCACCATCAACTATGCGGTTTTTCTCATCCTCAGATAAGGCTAACATAACTTCAGTATTTGAGGCTGAAGTGTAAGCTTTTAAGACAAAAATTTAAAAGGAATCAATGAAGAATTTGCAAGAAAGATACAAGTCACCCACTTCTGTCTGACTGATTCCATCTTTCATCCATTGAGTAAAAGTCAAATACCAAAAGTATTTAGCATTCAACAAGTTACATCAGTCTAAGGCTTTCACATTGACATATCCATATATGTGACTCTTAACATCATATGACTCTCATAACCCTAAAATGTTATTTGGGGAAATATCAGGATTCTCATTTCATAGAAGAGGAAAGCAAAGGTAACAAAGATGATGGCCAGCAAGGTATAGAGCCAGGATTCAAAGGAAGACCCCTATCTCTAATTCTCTGGCTCTTTATATTATAACTACCAAGCCACAACCAAAACCCATTAACCTATGCTTTTTCTTCCAAAAAATCAAATTCTAGATAAACATACTCCACCCTCAAATCACTAAAAGAAGGACAATGGTGAGTGAATCATTAAATTGATACAAGACAAAGAAAATCACAGCATCCCTTGGGGCTATAAATTCACTCCCAGACAGCCTTCTCTGCTGACCAAGTTTCCCAGGACCCCTAACTTTGGCCAGGCTTACCAGCTGCCATGGTAGGAAGCATGCTAGACCTTTCTTCATCCATTACGAAAGACCAGTCTTCATAAAACGTGCTGCAAAGTCAAAGAAACAGAAAATGTTTTTTAATAATAGCTCTCTGCATCCACTACCTAGACAATTCCATTAGGCAGTTCCTTGAAAAAGCTGTGTCTGGTCAGGCATCCCAGAGAAGATAACACTATGTCTGAAGCCTCTGCTGCTTTGAAATTTCTGATTATACATAGAGGTCTGAATGCATACATCCTAGGACTTACTCACTGTTCCTCTGAGACCTCAGGGTTTAGAGTACTGAAATAGACATAGGCAAATGTGTTTATAAGGAAGTGAAGTAGAAGACAGACACACAGATGACTTCCACTCAAGCAAGATCCCCAAGAGACAAACAGGAAATTCAAGCTAGCCAACAGGGTTCACCTGACTTAATTAAAACAGGAAACAATTTAAAATTAGAGAGCACCACAGCTCCACCAACCACAGCATTCATTTATAGTACCTCCTGGGCTACCAACCCCACAGCCCAAATATCCCTAAAAAAGACGGACAGGCTTAAAAAGCCTCATGAATCTAAATAGCAGCTGGGGGGAGAAGGTGTCAGAGAAGCTTGTACAACCCATTCAAAGTTATCCAGCCAATAAATACTACAATCAGGGCTTAAAACCTTGTCTACCAAATCCAGTTTCCAAGCTCTTTATATGACTCCCTGTAAAGCAATAACCACAAAATAATCTTAATGCCCTGACTTCCCCACCAGGTCATAGAATTCTAAGTTAATGGAGTCAAAGATCAATTTTACTAGAGTCAAGTGAGTGTGGAGTGACCTGTATCTCAGTGAGAGACTAGAAAAAGTTATCTGCTGATGAGACTGAATACAGTAAACAGACAGAAAAAAGACACATTGTTTCCAATATACTTACCCAGAAAAATGTTAGTAGAAGCAAAAACCACAAGGTCAGGCTGGTATTTCAACTGTACCTGACTCTTACAGTTATGACCCTTTGAATAGATGAGCCAGTTTGAATTTGGCTTCCCCACACTGAATTAGGTGTAAGTAGCTAATGATTCAGGGAAGGTCCACTGTATTTCTCAACTATAATTAACTTCAACTTTCCACTGTTAAACTCAATTTTGGTATGCAAATGTGAATTATTTACAAATAATCAGCTGGTGTGATTCACAAAAATTCATTTTAAGGAACCCTGAGTATATTCTTCTTAACTAACATGGATTAGTGCTCAGAGGTATAGACAGACTTTCCTCAGCCTCTTGACTCTGGCCCTGAGTAGCACTTCCGTGACCAATGTCTGCCATCCTGGCTCTCAAATCCTCCCATTTCAGAGCCACAGGATCTGAGAACATTTGGATGAGGTGTCACAGAACAATAAACGCGTTACTGGTAGAGTAGTGACTACGACAACACAAGCCAAAGGGCCAGGAACACTGGGCAAGATGCAAAATCAAGTAACTGCACCATGGTGCTGATAAAATGCCAGATTGTTGAATTAAATGAAATCCCAAAACTAAGGACCAGGGTACTGCTGATATGAAAGGCATTCAAGGAACCAGGGCACAGGTGATCACTGTCTTTTTTTACCACCAGGTGACACAAAACATGGCTAGTCCACCATTCTCAGAGAGAGAGTAGTAGCCAGAGTCAAAACAGAGAGATCTAAACATGATCAGTTGCAAAACAAAAAAAGACAATAAAAAAAATGCCAACATGTTCAAGCTAGGTCTGTATACATTATGAGTGATTTAAAATTTTATGTCAGTGGGTTCTACAACATTTTCAACTGTTTTTAAGGTGACTGTACTATCATTGTGCTCTTACTCAGAGCCACTGCCGTGGGTTAACTATGCTTCCCATCGTGTCATGCGTGGCCGTAGTCATATGCCTTGCCATGGCCAGTGAGACAGCAGTGGAAAAAACCCAAGCTGTACCAGTCAGTGCTTAGTTCAAACATGACTCCTATTTATACCCTGACTCTACACAACTCACAAATGAAACATATGTAGAGAAGAGCCTGTGGTCATCATGAACCCCTGAGGAGTGAACGCTTTGACATGACAGGCATGCAGCACAAGAAAGAAATAAACTCGCTTGTTTCACGTCACTGAGATTTTTGAGCTATCTGTTACTGACCTGTACAAAGAATGAATTTTATGTTTACTACCAAGGGAAAAACCCAAAGATTTTAATAAAAACAAAAGACTTCCTTCCCTTACTTAAAACTTCCCTATGCCTTTTCAGTCAGCGTGGGATTGAATGCATAAAACAATCTCAAATGAAAATTTCATGAGATGAAGGTGAGCAGGTAAGAAAACTGCTCTCTCCATCCCTGAAGTCTTCATGATAATAATAAGCGCTGACTGAGTGCTGCTCTATGCAGGTACCATGCAGACATTTTCAATAGACATTCACACTGATTCTCCAAGTGCCCACAAAACAGCTAAAGGACAAACCCATTTACACAGGGGTCAGGACTGGGCCACAAATCCAGGAGATCTGACTTCGTCTGGACTCTGCCATCTTCAGCCCTGGCTCCAATGCATCCCTTCCCAAAAACCATCCCGCTGCTGGGTACCTGAGCCTGCCACGGTCAGCCAGAAGCATATGCAGGTAACGCTCCAGGGAGTGCTCGTTGAGGGCGCAGCGAAGCCAGGCCCGGCCCCGGCCCACGTCGGAGGCAATGTGGCGCAGGGAATAGAAGCGCTGCAGCTCGTGTTTGTTGAGGACCTCCTTCACATAGTACCAGAACACGGGCTCTGGGGAGAGAGGGCACCGGCTATGTCACTTAGCCTGCAACACTTACCATTTTCTGAGTAATGGTTTGTAGGCAACTTTGTGAATTGGAAAAGAGCTACTTCCTTAGCATAGAGAAGGTGAAAGATACAGAGAAATATTCAAAAATAAAATGACTACAAGCCAGGCGTGGTAGTGCATGCCTGTAATCCCAGCACTCTGGAGGCTGATCACACGATCACACGAGTCAAGGCCAGCCTAGGATACTTAGTGAATCAAGACCAGTCTCAAAAAATAAATAAAAATAAAATAAAATAAAGACTCCAAAAACGATCATACAGAGAGTACCATTACTAGCTAACATCTTACAGAATTTCCATCCAATCTGTCTACTTGCACCTATTTTTTCCTTGGGGGGAGGGATACTGGGCATCGAATTTACAATCTCACATTTGCTAGGCAGGCACTTGCGCCACAAAACTAAATCCCTGCCCCCAGCACCTATTTATTTTGCACAAAAATGATTCCAGAAAATATATCTTATTTCTGAAGCTATGAATGGTACTTAACACAGCAAAAGAGCCTTTGTAATTGTGATTACATTACAAATCTGGAAATAGGAAGATTATCTTGGCTAATATCTGTGGACCCAAATAGTGACAAGTATCTTTATAAGGAGGCAGGGAATGTTTTGACTCACAAAGGAGAAGGTGGTATGACCAGGGAAGCTAAGATTAGAATGATGTGACCAAAGCCAAACAATGCTGACAAATAATAAAAGGTAGAGGAGTCAAGAATGGATTCTGCTCTGCAGCCTCCATCCTCCATAGAGTTAGGAATCAGCCTATCCAAGCAAAACTGATCATGGACTTTTGGCCTCCAGAGACAAAAGAGAATAAATCTGTGTTGTTTGAACACCATCAACATTAAGTCAGGCACAATGGCATGCACTTATTGTTCCAGTTGCTCAGAAAGTTGTAGCAGGAAGATCATTAACCCAATGATTCAAGGCCAGCCTGGGCAAATAGCAAGATCCCATCTCAAAAATAAATAGCCACCAATTTTGTAGTAATTTGTTCTATTGGTCATTAAAAACAAGTGTATCCTACTACAATGTTGTATCCTGATTCACTTTTGGACTAGACCATAAACTTTTTCCTACTACGATTAAAAGTCTTCAGATATACCCACGTAATCCCAGTATTTGGGAGCTTGAGGCAACAGGATCATGAATTCAAATATAATAGTTATTTCTGAATAAAACATAACAGTTACTTCTTTTTTTTTTCTTTGTACCACAGATTGAACTCACAACCAGGCAGGCACTTATGCCGCTGAGCTAAATCCCCAGCCCCAAGAACAGATATCACTCTCAGTCACCAGAGATCAAATATTTATTTACTTTTAGGGGTATACTAGGGATCAAACTCACAACCTCATGCTTGCCAGGCAGGCACTTACGCCACTGAGCTAAATCCCCAGCCGCCATAACAGTTATTTCTGTTTTAAAGAATATGACACACTACCAATATTCCCACTATTTAGCAAATAATACTTTATACATAAATAATTATTCTCCTTTCTAGCTCCTTAGAAGGGATTTTCATAGGCTGAATTTCTAGATCTAGGAGTAGGAACAGGCTTTAAGAGAAATCTTAAGTTTGTTAATTTGCACTCATAAAACAGTCATTTTTTTTCCAGCACAGATTCATTTAACTTAAAAGTCCTTATAAAATATTCTTATAATTACATATAACTTCCTCAAATCCACCTTTCTTATCCACATGCACAGCTTTTTCCCACAGTTGTAACTCTAGTGTATAGCTAATTTTGGGATCTATTTTCTTCTCTTAACATTGGTTCAACACTTTTTCATGCTGCCAATAATAAGGCAGCAGCAGTAGCTACAATTCATTGAGTGTTAGCTACAGGTATGCATATGCACCAGTCATCACACCCAACATTGTACATCTCGTAACAACCAAGGCCATCTCCATATCAAAGATGAAGCCTGGATAGGTGAAGAACCCGTACAGCAATACTGTACACAGTTAGTAAACGGTATAACTGAAGACAAAGTCAGAGGTAACTGCACACTACTAAACACATTTTGCCTCATATAATAAGAAAACTTAATCTTCTTCAAAATGAGCATGTTCCAAGAAGGCAGAATTTTGGGGCATGGGATAAAAAAATAATCAGACATGTTATACACATGTACCAATTCCCTCAAACAAACATCACTATCATGAATTGCAATCATTTAATTAAAAATGTTTTCTTAAAGAGCATGTTCATAACTGCTTAATATTCCAATGCAGTAAAATCTGAGTGTCTATAGCTATACCCAGTTTCCAGTCCTTGAGCTAACAAGTCCAGAGATCCGTCTGAGGATGTGGTACTCTTTGAACCTTAAAAGAACACAAATATACACAGTTCCAGAAACTGGGCACCAGGTTAATAATCATTCTACTGTTTCAATCCAACTGAACAAGGATTGACTGCATTCTTCCTGTGAGCCATGAGTTGGGCTGGCCTTGGGTACCAGGTATCAACAACAAGGACTCATCCCTAAAGGCACTTCCAGTCTAGTAGGCAGGACAAACAAGTGAAGAGATTGTTCAGCTGACTAATCCCAGGCAAATCATTCAACTATGCTGAGTCTCGGGCACCTCTCCCATAAATTCAAAAGTACAGACTGATCTAGGGTTACTGGGGTTATTAGAGAACAGGGAGATCTAGCGCTGAGTATAATGCCCAGCTTATGGTAACCAACCACTATGTGCTTAATAATTACCTACCCAGAAAAGGACATTTCTGTGGCTTCCTCTTTTGCTGTTAACAGGATCTTAATATATGCATATGTATGCATGTGCATATACATTTGTGGATCTAGCCACCCTTTGGAATTCTTTAGAACAAACTTTCCAGAACAATCGACAAGACCATCAATAGGCAACTCTCTCAGAACTGTCTCCTGTCTCAAACTTTATATGTGAAGTTAATCCCCTTCCACAATTTGTCAGATTAGCACAAAGCACACAACTGCACAAAACGGCTTTGTTCCCACTCTCCAGTTCTCTCAAACTGGGACAGGAGAATTTAGAGAAAGCTTCATGCCCCAAGACAGCCGCCAATGATGTGTTTTGAAACACTCAGCCAGCCAGCTGCAATTCCATCACATTTCAGATCAAGTGACTCTCACCTGCATCCTGCCTGTCTTGAAAAATGCAGTCACCTCACTCTGACCTTGAGTGCACATGAACACTCTACAGTGTTTTCACCTTTCTATCTTGCAAATTGCTTACTGCTACAGAATTCTTTTTAAAGCCTGCTGGAGCGATGCTGACGATGATAAGCATTAACAGGGCTCCATTTCCACTGCCAGAATTAATGTGGTCTATTTAAAGTGCAGCTCAGCAGGCAGTGTCCATAATTTAATTTGGGGATATATACCAATCTGCTTTGAAACATGGGATACGATCCAAAAAGCATGCAAAGACTCTTGGTTCTCTGAACCCCTAAAGCAACTGCCAACAAGGACAAGCGCCAGGACTGGGGAGCAGAAGTGAGCTGCCTAGGGGTACTTGTTAATAAGGGGTGACTAGTAACATTGGCTTTTGGCAAAGTTTCTAAGAGGCCTCAGCTTTCACTGACAATGCCAAGAATTCACACTTTGGAAAGACAAATACTTTGCCTCAAATCGTAGTTGAGGCATTGTGTGACCTTTGGTGACTTACTGTGTCTTTTATTTTCCTCATCTATACAATGGGGATTATAATACTTACCTCTAAGGATTGTTATCATGGAAAAATGAGAAAATGAGAACATATACAATGTGTATCCTCTAAATGCTAGTTAGCCCTAAATACCTGTCATATAATTGGCATTTAATGGGAAATAGTTTTCACTATCATTAATATATGAGTATTTCAAAAGACGTTATTGGCTGCTGGCTCAGGGCATAAAGCTCTTCCAGATTCCCCTGTACCAGTTTGACAGAAGTGAAGAATGGAAACAAAGCTGTTTTGCACAGTGCAGTAAAACAGGAGGTAAAAGCCTAGGCACAAGACACGTAAGCAGCATCCCTACCTCTCTTCCAGTAAAGAGTATGCCTCTTTCCCATAGGAAACATACTCTACTGAGTTCCTTGTGAAGTGGCCTTCAGCACTACATCATCCTCTTCTTCCTCTGGCAATACCAGGCCACAACAGGGAGCATACCTCCAACCCTCATCCTCAACCTGACTCTATTTATACTTTGTTCATTATGAACTTTTTTTAATACTGCATGAAATTGTTTTATATCTTGATTGTTTCATGAAATTGTTTTATCATGAAATTGTTTTATATCTGAGGTTTTTGTTACTCCTTAAATTTTATGACCAAAAAGTCTTACTGACCTCACATTAGTCTCAGCCTTAAACCACAGTCTCCTCCACACAATTTCTATCTGAACCACTGGAAGATGACGCCTGGTTGTCTTTCTGGAACTACTGGAAAACTACTACCTGGATTTATTGCAGAATCCTTCTATTTTTTTTTTAAATGGGGTCTTGCTACGTAGTTTGGGCTAGCCTCTGACTCACAGCAATCCTCCTGCCTCAGCCTCCTGAGTGCAGGGATTACGTGTATGTGCCATGGCCAACAGTACATGCTTTTGTAGTAAAGTTTTATTGGAACACAGTTATATCCATTTGCCCACGTATCATTCAGGGTTGCCTTCCTGCTACATGAGTAGACCTGAGTAATTGTGACAGACATCACAAAGCCTACAAAGTCTAAAATATGTACTATCTGATTCCTTATGGAAGGGAAGAAGTTTGCTGACTTTTGTTCTACAAGTAGAAGTTCCAACGATCATGTATACCTGAAGCCAACTGCAGTCATTTTGCCCCTACCATACAGACATGGTCCTGCAAAGACTTTGACTATAGAGAAGCTGTTTTGAGAGATAAAAACAGATGTGGGAGAACACAGGGCCCCTGAATCCAGCTGAACTCCAATTAGATTTCTTAGTTACT